CTAAAGAGAAGAAATATGGTTTCAGGGTTACCAGAAATCGAAATTCCAAATAAAGTGGGTGAAGAATATTTGAAGGTGAAGCATCACAAGAACAAATTCAGCAAAGATGCAGGAAGCAATTCGAAGGTAGTTCTTGAAATGATATACTCTAATGTGTGTGGACCTATCTAGGTGGATTCAATTTGAGGTAACAGATAATCTGTCACACTTATAGATGATTTTAGTCAAAAACTATGGACTTATCTAATCAAGAAGAAAAGTGAAGTGATCGAGGTATTTTCCAAGTTTAGATATATGGTTGAAAGACAAAGTGGTTAAAAGATCAAGATTCTAAAGGCTGATGGTGGTGGAGAGTATGTGTCAAAAGACTTCGACACATTATGTGAGAAAGAAGGGATTGTGCATGAGGTGGTGCCAACCTACACTCTACAATAGAATTGGAATGCAGAAGGGAAGAATAGAACCATTATGAATATTGTGAAAAGTATCTTGAAAGGCAAGCATCTACCTAAAGAATTATGGGGAGAAGTTGTTCGACTGCAACATACGTCTTAAACAAATGTCCGATGAAAAGGTTAGAAGGAATTACGCCAGAAGAATATAGGTTTGGTATCAAGCCTAGCTTGAGCCATCTAAAGGTATTTGGATCTATAGGACATAGACATGTGCCAGATTAATTCAGAAGAAAACATGACGATAAGTCGAGTCAAATGATCCTAATAAGATATCATTCGACTGGAGGATACAAGTTGTTCGACCCAGTGAACAAGCATGTAGTGATCAGAAGGGACGTGATCATAGATGAGCTTAAGGAATGGGATTGGACTGAAAATGTAAATAAGGATTCAGTGACAATCATATGTAAATAACCAACAAGTGAAGTCGAAAGAAAAGTTCAACAAGAAGAAGTCAGAGGTTTAAAAGCACAAGAAGACCTCAAAGAACATGACACATGCCTGCAAGGTTGCAAGAATGTGTAATTACATTAGATGACGTGGTCGATGATGAAGGTGAGCTTGTACACTATGCTTTATATGCAGATGTCATACCAGTTAATACAGTTGAGACATTGAAGGATTCAAAATGGGTGAAAGCAATGAATGAGGAACTGAAGCCCTTCAAAGTCAACAACACTTCGTCACTTATTGAATTTCCTCAAGAAAAGAAGGCAATCTATGTGAAATGGGTATACAAGGGGAAGTTGAATCCAAAACGAGAAGTAACTCAACACAAGGCGAGGCTTGTGACGAAAGGATTTTTTTAGAAAGAAGGAATCGAATTTGACAAAGTTTTTATATATGTGGCTAGGATCAAAACAATCAGGTTGGTTGTTGGTCTTGCAAACATGAACAACCGGTAGATGTGTCAGATGGATGTGAAGTATGCATTCCTAAGTGGCCCCTCAGGTGAAGAAGTTTATGTTGCACAACTAGTTGGGTTTGTGAAATAAGACAAAGAAAAAAAAGGTATACAGGCTGCATAAAGCCCTATATGAACTTAAGCAAGCTCCAAGAGCTCTGAATAAGAAGATAGATAGATTTCTAAGGGAGAAGGAATTTGTGAAGTACAAAATTGAGCATGGAGTATATGTAAGGAGAAATAGTAATGAATTTCTTATACTATGTCTCTATGTCGATGACCTGCTGATAACAGGAAGCTACAAGAAAGAGATTGAAGATTTCAAACATGACCTAAGTGAGGAGTTTGAAATGTCAGACTTGGGAAATCTATCATATTTTCTTGGCATCGATTCTAAAAGAGTGGTAAAGGTTTGATGATGCACCAAAGAAGATATGCAAGCAAAATACTTAAGAGATTTGAGATGCAAGATCGAAACCCAACTTTAACTCCAGCTGAGCCTATAATACAACTTTCAAAAGACACGGATCAAGATGATGTCGATCCAACGCAATATAGAAGACTCATTGAATCACTTTGATACCTTTGTCACACAAGGCCTAATCTAGCATATAATCTGGGTATGGTGAATAGATTTATGCATAAGCCAAAGATATTACACCTAGAAGCGACGATGAGGATACTAAGGTATATGAAAGGAACTCCCGACTATGGTATTTTATTTTGTATAAATGATGAAGGAAAATAATGCAAGTTAGTGGGATACACCGACTTAAGTTGGTGTAGTGATGCTAAGGATAGAAAATCCACAGTTGGTTATGTGTTTATGCTAGGTGGTTCACCCGTTGCTTGGAGTTTAAGAAAGGAACCAGTAATGGAACTATCATCATATGAAGCAGAATACAAAGTCGCTTCTTGCAGCGGTGAAAAGTTGGAGATTAAGCTATTGGTTAACTTAACTCACAAAGGAATAGTTGTCGTCGCACTTTATTATTTCCAAAGGGATGGGAAAAGAGCGAATAAAACCCACAAAAGTTTTAAAACAAAACTAATAAAACAAAGAGACAAGTGTCCGGGGGTTGGTTATGCAATGGGAAGGTGTTGACACCCAAAACATCTATAGTACTCTATAGGAACCTCTTGAAAATCTATGTTGTGGTGAGAATCGGACATCAAGCTATTAATTAACTTGAACCACAAATATTTAAATATTCACCACCGAGATTTGATTTATCCAAAGGAAATGGTAAGGATCGAAGAAAACCCTAAGTGTGCTACGTAACAACGAAGCTAAGAGATTGAGGGGGTTCGGGGGTTAGTTATACTAAGGGAAGATATTAGCACCCTAAGTATCTGTAGTACTCTATAGGAGCCTCTTGTTTGGTAGTTGTGTTATGTTAATATTTGTCTGCTAATGGTTATGTGCTAAGGTAAAGACCTATAGGTATATGCACTAAGTATGCTCGCCAAGACGTCGCATCTCGTGCATACGTATCCTAGTAAGGATGGAATCAGAGCAACCGTAGTTCTCCTAACAAGGGAGAGAACTCTTGACTATGGTCAAGGTTCAAGGGGAATAAGCATCCATAACAATGATACTTATATAGAGTTAACAAACTCTCTAGGTCTAAGTTAAAATACTAAACGGGGGTTTGACTTTAACAAAAGTCAAAAGGGGAAATGTGAGTACCCATAACAATGATACACACATAGAGTTAACAAACTGTAAACCTAAGATCTAAATTATAGGATTCCTAACAAGGTGTGCTAAAGGTCTTGACTTAACAAAGTCAAAAGGTAGTGGGTTCTAACTTAAGGCTAAGTTGGAAGTCCTAATGACTCTAACAAGGTCAAGGGGAGGTTTGAGAATAAAATGAGCTATCTATGACGTTGAGTCAATAGAGAGACTTTCATTTGGACTTAGGGACACAAGGAAACTATTTTGGATCAGAGCTAATAAGCTACATCACTTGGGGGGAATTATAAAGTTTAAACACACATATACATTCATTCAAACATGATGAAGATGTAAAATCATGGTAACAACCAAGAAAGTAAAGCAAGCATGTGACAACATCCAGCAAAACAAATAACAAGGTTACAGCCAAGTATTCATCCACTGAAGTTTTAGAATTAAACCAAATGGTTACAACCAAAGGTAAACATAGATGTTACAACATCTAAATGACTATGAAATAAAGTTCTTAAAAGACTAAACATCATAGATGACAAGTACAAGTGAATCATACATAAGTCAAAACATTACTTATCATGGAAAAGTTCAAAATTCAAGATCAACATGCATAAATTATAACAATATTTAAGGCATGGATACAAGTCAAGAGAATCATGCATAAGTCAAAACATTACTTATAATGGAAAAGTTAAAAATTCAAGATCAACATGCATAAATCATAACAATATTTAAGACATGGATACAAGTCAAGAAAATCATGCATAAGTCAAAACATTAGTTATCATGGCAAAGTTCAAAACTCAAGATCAACATGCACAAATCATAACAATATTTAAGGCATGAATACAAATCAAGTGAATCATACATAAGCCAAAACATTACTTATCATGACAAAGTTCAAAGTTCAAGATCAACATGCATAAATCATAACAATATTTAAGGCATGGATACAAATCAAGTAGAGGTAACAACCAAACATCTTTGAACAGGGGTGTAACATGCGTGACAACAACATGTGAATTATCGCGAATCATGTTAAACAAGAAGGTAACAACCAACATGTAAAAGGAATTCAATTATGGAAGATGAGAAACATATCAAAGGTGATTCATGCAAATATAACATATTTCAAAATAAAACAACACTGTTTAAGAATGCTATAGGAAAGGTATGATAGGCATGAAGCATATGCACATTCAAATCATTTGATCATAAAAGAGAATCACATGTCAAGGACAAGGTAACAACCAAGGTTTTATGATATTCAATCATGTATTTACATATGAAAATGAACTTGAAAAAGTAATAACTGTCATACCCCAAATTTGTCCTACCTTTTTGAAAATTTTCATTTGCCCGACTTTATTTTTCAATTCGTATCGCTTTTGCGGCGTAACGTATTTTTTGGCAAAAAATAAATTCTTTCACCATTTTAGCCCAATAAATTTGCACCACATGGCATCTTTTTATTTATTATTATTTATGTTTTAACATTTTATTATTAATTGATTAATTAGTTTTAATAGGATAGAATTATAATTATTTACTTATTTATTATAATAGATATTTTTTAGGAATAGGATTTGTTTTTTTAATTATTAATTAAATTAGAATTTAGTTTTTTATTAAAATTAGTTAACATAGAAAATAGATTTATTATTCAGAAATTAAAAAAATTAAGAAAAGAAAAATTAAGAAAAAAGAAAGGAAAACACGTTTGGATTTGGTCTTGGAATGGGATTTAGGGTTACAGGGCTATAAAGAGGGGTACCCCTACACTGTTCACAGGATCCCCAATTCTGAAGGGTAACCCTAGCCGCAAACCATCTCCATTTCACAGCTCAACCCTCTCGCATGAAACCTTTTTCTCCGTTTCACCACCACCCTCACATCAACAACCAAACAAACAAAATTGTTGCGCAAACTCAAACCTCCTGAATCCGCCATGGCATCCGCCAACGAAAGCTTCGTCTACACCGCCAAGCTCGCCGAACAAGCCGAACGCTACGAAGAAATGGTTGAAGCGATGAAGAAAGTTGCTAAGCTTGACGTTGAATTGACGGTTGAAGAGCGTAATCTTCTGTCTGTTGCGTATATGAATGTTGTGGGAGGACGTAGGGCCTCGTGGAGGATTCTTTCGTTGATTGAGCAAAGAAAGGAAACGATGTGAATGTGAATCGGATTAAGGAGTATAAAAAAGGTTGAATCTAAGTTGTATGATATCTGTACTGATGTCATGTCTGTGATTGATGAGCATCTTATTCCTAATTCGTCTGGTGAATCTAATGTCTTTTACTGCAAAATGAAAGGTGATTATTATCGTTATCTGGCTGAGTTTAAGAGTGGGGATGACAGGAAAGAGGCTGCTGATCAGTCCTTGAAAGCATATCAGGAAGCTTCCACTGCTGCAGAGACCGAGTTACCTCCGACTCATCCTGCCAGACTGGGTTTGGCTTTGAACTTCTCTGTCTTCTATTATGAAATCTTGAACTCTCCTGAAAGGGCCTGTCACCTTGCCAAGCAAGCATTTGATGTAGCCATTGCTGAGTTGGATTCTCTCAATGAAGAATCTTACAAAGACAGCACATCGTAGCAAGCACCCTGCAATGGCATCGTCCAGCAGTGGTCATAGTTCCAATATGTCACCACTTTCTTCTGCAACAGAAAATCAATGGATGCGTCGCCCAAAGTTCCCTGCAGCAGGAGCAGCACCATATGTTCCGATTCGACATATGCAATCACCTTGCCAGGGAATTGCACCACCAGTTACCATAAGAACTGCAATACCTGTATTCTCTCCCCCACCAGCCGCAGTGTCTCCTCAAGTAATGCAACCTCCTCCTGTATGAGTTGCTCCTCCGATCAATATTTGACAAGCAGTTCCAGCATATGCCGCTCCACCAGTTCAAGCACATGAACCTCTTCCAATCAGCAAAGTCGATCCTGCTCCACTACTTCAAGTAGATGAATCAGTTCCCATCAGCAAAGATGTTTCAGCACCAGCCGTTCATAAAGATGAATCTGTTCTCATCAGCAAAGACGATCCAGCGCCAACTACACTACCGACACCCTTCGTAGCTCACTCGCGTTGAACTCTCTCAGCAGTAAACTCATGTAAACGATAACAGGTGGAGAGTTGATTAGCGACTTGGTATCGATTCAGTTTCGACGCGACACCCTCAGCCACGGCTTCGCCTTCAACAATGGACAGCTTCGCTCTTTGTCATGTTGGTTCCGACCTCGTAATGGCGGTTATCGCAGCAGTTGATCCCATCAGCCCTTGAAATCAACATAACAACTACGGGAGAGCAACAACGTGGTTGGAGATGCGCATCGGTGATATCTTAATTTCGTTTTGCCTCAACAACGGTAGCAACTCGAAGTTGTCCCCAATATAATGAATGGATCTCACCCACAGAATATCTAGGATGCTTTCACAAAATTATGTTATTCAGATGGTGATTAGTCATGATTAATAATTGATTAGTCATTATGGCAATTCTTGACAACAGGGTCTTCCAGTTCATTTCTGCAAGCAAAACCTTCCAGAAAAGGATGAAGCGATGACCTTGATTGATGAGGATGGAGATGAGTATCCAACTACATTTTTGGCTTATAAAACAGGACTTAGCGCTGGATGGAGAGGTTTTGCCATTGCTCATGGACTTGCTGATGGAATTACTCTGGTTTGTTCCCACTCCAGAAGGTGTATCCAGAAACGCATGGCAATTGCTTGCGATCTTCTTGGGAACTATCGTCGGAATCATCACACAGCCATTACCTCTTGGTGCCGTTGCGATTTTGGGATTAGGAGTTTCGGTTCTGACCAAAACCCTACCCTTCGTTGCTGCATTCTCCGGCTTCGGCGATCCAATTCCATGGCTGCTTTGTCTTGCATTTTTCTTCGCTAAGGGTTTTATCAAAACTGGACTAGGGCTGGCTGAATTTTTCTTCCATTGGTTAAGTCTCTGTGTGTTGCTTGTGGAAGTAACGTTGGTGATGGAACGGAGAACAAGCTTGGGTCGTGGTTGATGCTTACTTGTTTTCAGACTTCATGTATTTCGTCGGCTATGTTTTTGACTACAATGGCGGCAAATCCGCTGTGTGCAACTCTTACTTTGAATTCAATTAACCAGACAATTGGGCGGTTGGATTGGGCTAAAGGTGCTATTGTACCTGGTTTGGTGTCGTTGGTTTTGGTGCCGTTGATTTTGTATATTATATATCCTCCTACCATGAAATCTAGTCCTGATGCACCCAAGCTTGCTAGGGAAAGGTTGGCGAAAATGGGGCCAATGTCAGCCAATGAGAAAATCATGACTGTTACTCTGTTTCTTACGGTTGGAATTTGGGTTCTTGGAGGGCTTCTTAATGTAGATGTTGTAACTGTTGCCATTCTTGGATTAGCTGTACTTCTTATCACAGGGGTTGTAACATGGAAAGAGTGCTTAGCTGAGGGTGTTGCCTGGGATACTCTCACGTGGTTTGCTGCCCTCATTGCAATGGCCGGTTGCCGCCATTCACCGACAACGCCACACATCAGTTTGCAGCAACGGCAAAACAATAGTCTCGGTTCAGATGCCTCCAAAGGACAACAACAATACTACCGCTCTATTTTTTGTAACAACGGCGACTTTTCGATTTTGGAGCAGATGCAAGATTGGAGGCAATGATGTTCAGACTTTGAAGACAATCATTGCCGAGCAAAAAAAAACGGTTCCACCGCAACATCTTCAATGACACTCTGCAACTTCAACTTTGATTCTGTCTCCGACAAGCCATTCATAGCAACAACTTTCTTCGTCGTGGTTGTGAATTTGTTGCTCCGATTCGGTTCTCGTCATGACGTCACCAAATCCTACCACAAGCGAGTGACAACGATGACAACAACGGTACCGCGGTGATGAACTCTCAGTTGACTGCAGCATTACGGAATCGCGCACAATACGTTGAAGAATAACGCGGTTTGGTTTGCAATATAGGAAGTTCATCTGCTGTTTGTTTTGTTATTGATTTAGATGATGTTTGTCTCTATGTTTTCTGTTTGACAGGTACCAATATGGTTCTAAGTTTGAACAAGTTGAGCGGTTCTTGGATGGTGTGGCTTTGCCAATTCGAATGATGTTCTAAGGCTTGTGCTGCTGCTACATTCTAATGCCATTAGAGCCATTGTTTCGGTTACGCAAAGGCGACTTAAAAAAGCGGATGAGAACCTTGCTCCACCGAACTTCGCTCCACCATCCAAGCAATTCCAAATCCAGTTCCATTCGACCCTGCAGTGGTGTCGCCGGTGACACATAGCAACTCAACATTTTGTCCAGTTCATTACTGAGTTTTGTCTTGTAACTTCAGCAACACCTTACACATAACACATCAAGCAGCTCGCGACTCAGTTATGATTTGTAACAACAACAACATCTCAGCAAAAGCTCATCTCATCAGCTATAACCGGCTTAGTTCACCTCGACAGCGAGAGCAATTTCAGGCTCTGCAACCTTCGTCAAATATCTCACCGAGAGACAACCTTCAAATTTCAGCAACTAAGCAGCAAGATCAGTTGCAACGCCTGATTCATGAAGAGATTCGCGTCAAGTTTTGTTTGTAATCCAACCGTGTTCTGTGTTTGACAGGTGAAAGGTTATGAGTTCTGATGCCGACACAGCGATGACAACAAGAGCGCAATAGCAACAAGTTTGTACCGGATGCGACGTTAGTCTAAGCTACAATTCCGATATGCAATGATGAAGTTGAACAATGAATCCTCCGGTATTAAGAGCAGATATGGATTGCGGCTGAAATCACAAACTGGCAGCTCAGATTTGCAGCATTAGCTCGGCATTTCGAGTAACACACTAGGAAACCAATCTTGCTACAAAGTTAACATCAACCATTGAGGATTCAGCCGAAATGGATGAAGTGGTGTATTAACTCAAGAAGCGGATCCCATTACGGGTTTGAGGCGACACTGCAAGATCGTGCCTTCAACTACACAATTAGATTGAAGCAGCATTGCATTCACGAGCAACTTCTTCAGCGACAACAACAACTCCACACAATCCTAACAACGATGCCTCTGTTTTTACTGGCCTCACAAAACCATCGCGACTTTTCCGTTGGGTTTAAAGGGTTTATAGCAGCTGGTTTTCAAAGCATGAAATGGAAAGGCAGATGTTCGACCATAATGTGTAGAGCCATGATCATCTCTGCTCCAACAACAATGATTCGTCAACGGTAACAATTCGAATCGGTTTCTTCTTGTATTATGTCTGTTGGTTGCACATGACTTCTATTTTGTTGATTGCTGCCATATAATTGACTTTGAAGTTTAGTATTTTATTGGTTTTTTTTTGTATTTTCTTGGTCAATGTGTGAGCCAGCTAGAAGATAAACATTATGCTAATCTCTTGACGCAATGTGTGGTAACTTATACTGATACGGTTTAGTGTCCTGTAATGACATGAAGATACTGCTGTGGCTTCTTCTCTAGTGCATTCGGTTCACTGTTGTTGCTTAAGTGTTTATATATTTGCGTCTAGCAGGTATTTTAGATTCCTTTTGTTTCGGTTATGCTGAATTAATGTGATGCTGTCAAATTTTATGTGATTCGATTGTGCGACAAATTCTTATGTCGCAGCTATAGTTAAACGTTGTTGTTGGCTGAGTTACGTTGTTGCGATTTCTATTATATAAATAACGTGAGATATTGTGTATGGTTGTTGCTGTTCTAGTTTGTTGGTCATACTGGTGTGTTTTTAGAGCTGCTACTATTTTATCCTTGTTTCAAAATTGTGACAGTTTGTTAATTGTTAACCCAGGCCTGTTTTAATAATGCAATAGGTGATTAAGTGTTAAGTATTGTAATGATAATGATTGTTGCTACTTCTTATGACTGCCTCGTGCGTTTGTTGTGCAGTTGGTGTATTTGAACATTGCGATACGAATTTGTTTGTTGTGATGCGACTTTGTTGCAATTTATAGACCGTGATGTGCGATTTGTTTGAGTACGATTTGCTGTTGTGGCGGTGATCTAATGTCCGTATTGTGAAAACAACACGAGAATCTTGTTGCTAGAAATTTAAGATTTAAATTGATTCTGTTATGCATCAGTGATTTAGTTTTGGTTTAAATTGATTCTGTTATATATCAGTGATTTAGGTTTGGTCAGAATTC